TGTTCATGAACTCTCAAATATATGGAGCTTTCCTAAAGATGCCTTTTATATTGATTCTAACTTAAATCCATTGTAGTCAGAGAATGCTGTGTGTATTGTAGCAATCCTTTGAAATGCACTGAGACTTGCTTAATTTGCAAGTACAGGTTTTCATATTGTTCCATATGTGATTGGAAAAATATTGACAATTTGGGGATATAGTGTACACACAGTACATATAAATGTGTATTTTCAATACTTCAAAATTTCTACCTATTTCCTAATATTTGTCTGCTTGCTTCCTTAATTACTGAGAGAGGTATGATTTTGAACTGTACTTTCTTTTGTTGCTCTTATTTTTCTTTCACATCCTTCATGGCAACTGTTATTGAGTGCATACCAATTTAAAATTATTTCACCTTCATGAATTTAACCTTTTATTACACAAAGTGATCTTTTCTCTCTGTTAGTGGTCCCAAATAAACTTTACACTTGAGTCCTTTTTTAGGGTCTGCTTCTTGGAGGAACCTAAATGAAAAGTTTGTCTCCCCTAGTATGTTGTAGCACCACAATAGCTAAGACTCCTACCTGTGGTAAATTGGTATTGGGCCCATGAGGAAGGAGATACACTCACTCACATAATATTTAGAATGATAAGAGAGATGGTAGTGGTGCTAATTTATAAGGACTGTGGAATAGGTGGGTTGTTGCTAAGTGCAATCACTGCAAGGATGGAAGGCAATCAGGCTTAACTTAGGCAGGGTGTCAGAGGACCCCCTGGCATTTAAAGGGATCCTCAGCTTATGCAGCTAGAGGACAGACTGTGCCAAAAATCAAGCAGAAGTTACAAACACTATTGAATTGATAGCTCTCACAAATATACTGTTAAAATCAGGCACTAATAGCTAAGGAGGGACCCTAAACATGGGGTGGGAACATTTGGATGGAAATGCTGAGAACTCTGAACCTCGTATTCTTCTTAAGCCCCTCTGGGTTAGTGGTCCATCCTCTCTTGCTGATGGATAACAGCCTTCCTTGCTTGGAGACCATGTCAAGGCCTCAACTGAAACGAATGCCTCCTAAGATAAAGTGCTTGCCTTCTCCAAGGTCTGCCCGACCTCCTGTTGTTTCTTCTAGCCCAATTACTAGGGTAAAGCCTCAGCATGGTCCAGTTGGGGAAGTTGGGTCCTTGCTTCAGGAGGAGAGGGATCAGCTGCAGGATTTGGCTAGTCTACTCTTCTCAGTAGGAATTGGGAGAACATGCCTGGGAATGAATTTTGAGGACCTAAGACTAGACTAGATTAGGGATGGTTTATCAATATGTGGGATAGTTTTCTACAATACAGGAACCTGGAACTGATCCTAGCTTGCTGCTGGATAGCTCCTTGAAGTTTGGAGGAAATGAACCATGGTCAGAGTAAATGAGGTGGAGGTGCTGGAACTGCCCTGCAGAACAGAGGCAGGGCTCAGAAAGTTGAAAGTGGCAATGCTACTGGGATAGATTTCTAATTTATGACCAGAACACCCACTACCTATGTGCCATAGACACGTCCTTCACCAAAACCAGAGTGAATGCACTAGTGAGTGAGCTGTGCTGTTGAGAAACTCTGTGGTGGTTTGAAGGAGAGTTGATAATAGAGGACACTGATATAGAATTGTTTTCCCTTGTGTGAATGGATAGGATTCTGGAACATCAGAGGCCAGGTGACAGCACTAAGCTGTCAGCAGCAAGTTAGTTATTACCATAATAGGTAGCAGGGAATGGCAAGGGAGGAGTGCAGCCCCACAGGGATCTGTAGAGATGGCTAAGTAGACCATGGCAAGATAGGGTTAAGATAGATGGGCACCTTGACTGTTCTGATAATAAAATATTAAGATCAGGTGATGTCAACTGCTGCTGCAAGTGTGTGTGTGTGTATGTGTGTGAGAGAGAGAGGAGAGGGAGGGAGGGGGAGAGAGAGAGAGAGAGGAGAAAGAGAGAGAGAGAGAGAGAGAAGAGAGACACCATTCCTCACTAATCCTTTCAAGATCTAAGATCTAAGCCTATTCTCAGACCTGGACTACAGATCAAAGGAGTGGCTGGGGCACTTAAGGAAGGTTACTAGGATGCCACATGAGGGTATCAAAGGGATCTTTAACAATTTGCCAGTGTCTATACACTGAAGAAAGGGAATCATGAGTATCCTTTTAGGACTACTGGATATAGAACCCTGCTTTTTGGCTTAAGTGGCATTTGGCAATTTTCTGTAAAGGTCCACATAGCAACTATTTTAGGTTTTGTGAGCTATAGGATCTTTTTACAACTAATCCACTGTGCCAGTGTCCTGTGACAGCAGCCATAGACAGTAAGTAAACAAATGGTGGCTGTGTTCTAATAAAACTTCATTTACAAAAATAGGCAGTGGGCAAGATTTGGCTCATGAGCCATAGTTTCCTGGCCTTCAGCCTTGGACGTGGTCAATTTTCATGAAAATTCTGTATGCACTTGAAAATAACGTAGTCTCCAATTTTGGGGTTCATTACTTTGTACTTTGAACAGCACATTAAATTATGCTGTTCAAATTCTCTTTGTCTTAGATTTTGGGGGTCTGCTTTATCTGTAACTGGATGAGTTTAAAAAAAAACTCCCTCTATGGCCATTTGTCAAATTTTGCTTTACATAATTCAAAGCTACGTTATTAGGTGCATACAAGTTTAGCATCTTTATTCCTCTTTGTTAACTGAAACCCATGTCTTCTTGAAGTAATCTTCATTAACTCTAGTAGTAACTTTTGCCTTGGGCTATACTGGTTTGAAGTCAATATAACTACATCAGCTTTATTTTGGTTAGTGTTTTGATAGTATATATTTTTCATTCTTTGAATCATTCTGTGCCTTTATATTTTATTTTCTTAATAGCACAGGGGACAAATTAAAATTCTGAGCATCTTGGAAACCTAAGCAAGTAGGAGAATATTTGCTGAAAAGATGCAGTCAAGTAATCAGCAGCCTATCTGCTACTTGTGATAACCTACATAAAATCAGGTATATGGGGCATTAGGGGGCATCAAACAGGACAAGGGAGGCTTTGAAGGCAATTTTACCCACTGGCACCTCAGAGGCTTACATAACACATTATTGGAATTTTATCAGTTGCTCACACTGATTACTTTATAGTAACTAATATGACTTCCAACAAGTAGTAGCTATTTATATTAGTACCCTGAAGCAATAAGGCAGGAAGAAATGACTAGGAGTTTCCAGCCAAGTTGCTTGTTCCTTGATCATACCAGAACCTTCCTCTTTGCTCCTCTAGTCTCTTTACTCAATGTTGGCTTAAATAGCAGGTCACTCTCTTTGCTGAACTCAAAGTGACTGGAACCCTAGGCACTAACAAAGGATGTTTGTGAGGTATTAAAGTACCTTGTTTTAGAGGAGGAGGTAGAAAAGTGTCATGAGTGGCCACACCAGAGCTGCCATGACCAGCTTGCATGACCTTAATAAGGGCCTCTACCATCTCTAGGCTTCACTTCCCTTACTGAAAAATTAGAAATGATTCCTCTTTTCAAGAGTATGTGGGTTAAAGAAAATGGCAAAGATGCATGGCATAGGACTTCAACAAAATGCTAAATTGTTTCCTTCCCTCTGCTCTGAGCAATTCACTGGACAATGGCATTCCTCTCAAAAATGGTGGATTGCTGAAAATCATCACTTTCAAAGGGACAGGCAAGTTCACGCGGTTCATGCTCCCCTCCAGAGCATGCTTCTTGGGATTTCAGGCAGGTTTTCCTCAGACTTCAAAGAAATAGAGAAGCAAGAGCTTCTGAGGTCTAGTTCACAAATGAAGGATCCCAAGGTACATTTGAGTCTCATTGTCAGAAGTCCAAGATCATCACTGTTTAAGAAAGTTCTTTGCCCCCAAGCCAGATTTCTCCTCTAGTCTTGAGCTGCTTCCCTAGCACAGTGAGCCAAGATGCTGGCGCCAAGAGTCCAGGCTGAACTGTCAGAATGATCTTCTTTAAGGCCACACCATGTACTAGTCATGACTTTTAATAAGCTATCCTTTCTGGGCCTCAGTTTGGGGGAATAATGTCACTGGAACTACAGTGAGAATTTTAAAGTACAATGTATATATACATTGTATCAAATACACTTGGCACAGTGCCCAGCAGACGGTAAACTCTTGGGGAATCCAAAGTTTTGTTATGCACGTGTGCTGCATACACCTGAATCATGAACCTCCATGGTGATGCAGAGGACAGGGTCAGGAGTTACAGCTCAATGTGCAATCCAGCTCCTAAGAATTTAAGTACTGTGTAGGAAAGAGCCGTGCTGTATTTATATCTGTACCTTATCCTCTGCCCTATCCCTCATTCCTGGCATGTGCCCAGCAAATTGGGTTAACAGCAACAACACACACTCAATGGTTGGGCTAGTGTACTGAGGCTTGGCTTCTCAGGGTAAGTCTGGGATCCACAGACAAGCCATTCTGCAAAATTTATGTCAATTTTAATGAAGCACTAAAGAGTGAGATAGACAGCTGGACTGATATTGACTTGTGGGCATTTTTTAAGAAACCTTGTTAGAGAGGCTGGGCACGGTGGCTGGCTCACACCTGTAATCCTAGCACTTTGGGAGGCTGAGGCGGGTGGATCATGAGGTCGAGATCGAGACAATCCTGGCCAACATGGTGAAACCCTGCCTCTACTAAAAATAGAAAAATTAGCCAGGCATGGTAGTGGGTGCCTCTAGTCCCAAGTACCTGGGAGGCTAAGCCAGGAGAATCACTTGAACCTGGGAGGCAGAGGTTGCAGCCAGCCGAGATTGTGCCACTGCACTCCAGCCTGGGTGAGAGCAAGACCCTGTCTCGAAAAAAAAAAAACCATCTTAAATGTAACACCTAAAAAGTTCCAATTATCAAGTTTGGTGGACACCTTCAAAAGGATGAAAGCTGCAACCTCCTTTACTGTTCTTCATATTATCACTCACAACACATACTTCATTTCATTCTTAACAACATACACTTCTGCAGATAAAAAAGGTGACCCACACTTTCATTTTCTTTATTTTCCATTGATACCGTATGAATACAAAGTTTCTAGAAAGCTACAAAATGTCTACCACTTTATCAAGAAGGCATCAAAATGTGTCACTTTGCAAAGACATGAAAACACCTGCAGGAACTGACACAAAAATAGCATTTTTAGAGTGATGAAATAATTGCACTTAACTGTCATGGATATTAAAGTTATCACACATATGTACCGCAAAAGCTAGAATACATTTTTTTTTTTTTACAAAGCACTTTATAAAAAAATTCTCTGCACACAAATCCTATAATTTTCATATAACTATCATACTAAAGATAAATTCACTTTAAAGCCAACACTTAGAACATTTTAAAACAAAAAGGTACCAGTACCTAAACACAGACATTAACAAATACAAGAATACTGTACTGCCAAGAGGTTTAATCAAATGCCTTTTGAAAGTTTCTGCAAATAGGTTAAGAAAACGTGTGTGAGAATTTGCCCACGCCCACCCCCATCTCTCCAATCTACCCAAGAGGAACCCAGTTACCCGAAGGCAGGTTCCATAGCCCACTCCCAGCAGCAGTACAATATCAAAGGAACCACTGACCAGATGAAACGCCTACGTCACAAGCCCATTTTATACACGTGACACAGACACACAGACTGAGAGAATCCCATTAAGTCATTTAGAATGTGAACAAACACACGTGGCAAAAACCAATTTACGTAAAATTTAAGTGTATTATTGAAGTAAAGGCTATTCAGGTTTCTTTCTTAAATGTTACAAAAAATTTTTTTGTCATTTTCAGGCACGTACTGTTTTTGTTTTTACTTTTTTTTTCCTTGTCTGCAGTCATGAGCCTATTGAAAAAGGCCTACAGAAGTAAATCTTTCAAGGAGGTAACAGGGAGATGTTTTTTGTTTCTTGAAGGAAGTGCAGTTGATACCTAATTTACACAGTGAAACTAATGACAGAAAATGACTAATGAAAAAAATCAGACTGGTTTCTAATTGATTAACACCTAGATCTGTCAGCCTCTCTTAGAGAAGGGGGAAGGAGAAACAATCTCATCATGGAAGGCAGACAAAAGAGTCAACCTGAGAGAGGTGGAATCTAATGGAATCTGACCCCATTTAATGATGAGCGAGAGGAAACATAAAAGCCATCTCCAATACTAACACGATGTAGAGTGTGGCATGTGAGTGACTCAATGCAAATTCAGAGTAAAAGAAATTACTTAGGCATAGGAAGTAGGACAATAAATACAAATGTTTCATCTTATTTAACGGTGCATGACTTCAGTGAAACTACCCTTTGCAATGCAATAAATTTTAAACACAAACCTTCATTCTTAACGATATAAGCAACGACTTTATGAGGGAGAACTATTGTCAAACAAAGCACAGTAACAGTTGAAAAGAGAAGCGGGAAAACAGCATTTGACTAATTTCTTCCACACTGTGGTGTAGTGCAGGCAGGGAGGAGCTGAGAATTTAAGCAGCTGACTCTAACTTAAGTTCAGTACATTTTCATTTGATAGTTTTTGTTTGCACAAATTTCTATAAATACTCACAACTTGGAGTGGATAGGAATCACTCCTAAAATTTCAGAGCCCAGAGAGGATATTCTTAAAGACACCAGATAGAGACAGACAGAACATATGTATTAGGAGTTTAGAGGCTAATTTTCAAAGATGTCTGATGTTATTTTTACATTTATATTAGCAAAGAAAAATCTTTTTTTCCTGGCTTCGTTTTGGCTGGTGTTTGGCCTTCTTGTCCTTTTCACTCCTCTTCCTCACCTCTAACAGTTTTCCCAATTTCTGCAAGGTTTGGATAAAAGCCAACAAGGACTTTAAAGAGTTGTCCTTGAAAATGCCAAATTGTGAATGGTGCTCTTTGGAAGTTTCTCGTAGCACATTCATACACGATACTCGGAGTCAATATGTTTGCCCTAAGAAGACTTCAATTGTAACAACCCTAACTCATTTTTGTTTTGTTCTGCACTGTCTTCTCAGTTTGAGCCTTCCAACTTTCAAAATGGTATCATTGTGTAAACCAGATAAGTGCGCACTGTCATTTGAATGGAAAAGAAAGTCTCCACAGAGACTGAACATGAAACAAGGAGAAGGAGAAAGCTGTAATATCTGTCCACCGGCCGAGATTCTGTCGTTTGTGCGGAAGTCCCCTCATCTGGACGCAGGGCTGGGTGACAAGGTGAAATGACACACTGGGTCATCGGCACACACAAACACAACAGTTTCTGGGGTCCTTCCGCTGCAGCGTGCTATGGATGGTGGGGGGTCCCCACTGGCAGACAGACTAGCAGCAGGCGGGGACCACGTCGTGCTCTTGTGAACAGAGGCCTGTGGTTGGTTACTCATCCCGGTAAACCAAAGGCATTACGGTGATCTCAAAATATTTTTGGTCTCTCTACAAATTATCGTTATTATGGCAGCACTTTTCTAAGCTGGAATCTCAAACCAAAGGCACTTTCATGCTAGAGTGCAGAAGATTCACAAATAGCTAAGTATTTGGTCATGAATTTAAAAGGCAACATTAAAAAGTACAATTTGCTTTTCATAGTAAACTATGAAGTTGCAACCTTTTGTTTTGGTATATACATTTGAGAGTGTGGTGAAAGAACTGACTTGTGCCCAGTTTCAGATTTTAGACCAAGTAGTCAGTTTCCTATAAACTGGAGAAAAAAATGGGCTTAAAAAACATAAAATGAAGACAATTTTTGCTTGTTTTGTTTCTAATATTGGGCCAATTAGTAAGTGAACATTAGCAATCAGTGTAAGAAAAGGCTGGCGGCATGACTAAGGTATTACTAAGGCACTGCTTACGGGAACGCTTTGGCAGCTCTGAATTGAAAACTTCCTACAAAAGTAACAGTAGTAAGAGAAATGCTTCCAGCTTACAAAAGGGCCCGCAGTTCCGAGGCAGCCTTTTGCACTGCATACCCTACATGCAACATCTTGAAGATTTAAGGCTTTTCAGAAATGCCATGTGCAGGGCTTTGCCACAGAAACATCAACATAATAAAGAAATAAGCAATGCAGACATATCCTCCTAATGTCACAGGTGTGAACACCGACAAACAGAATTAGTTCTACCCTTCGTTAGTTCAGGTATAGTGTACCAGAGCATACACAAAATTACACAAATTAATATGTACCTGATTTGTAAAGTTGACTGTCATCTCGTATGATTTAAATAATTTATAGTTGCACAAAAACAACTGCTAAAGCCACCACAGTACTGAAACCTTAAGAAGACTTGGGTTTAAAAGTCATTCAGGGACTTTTGACACCAAGTACTTGGAACGGGGGCTGTTTTTTGGCTGGTCTGAGTGCAGGACTTTGCTGCTAGGATGCTTACCAAATAGAAATTTGACTCAGAGCCTGTGGCCGGGGAATTGTCCTCAGGAAGTAAAACGGCTCACCAGCTTTCCTGCCTGTGTAGATGCCTCAGATAGCAACGGTGGGACAGGACAGTCTGGCGTGGGAAGCAGCATTGGTGAGGCTGTGCTCTGGCACAGGGGGATCCTGAATCTCCGTCTCTCCTAAGCTGACCTGCCCACACATTCTGAGGGACTGTTTAAGCTTAGAGCACCAAAGAATAGCAGCCTCCCCCAGGAGAGGCCAAGGATCAAAGTGGCAGGAACCCTAGACAAGTCTCACCCTTTTCTGTCACTAACCAGCTGGGTGACTCTGGACATGTCACCTCCCCTCTGGCTCTCAACGTTCTCATCGACAAAACGAAGGAAGGTAGGCTGTGCTCTCTTTCAGCTCAAGAGAGAAAAGTTCTCTAAGCCCTCGTCTGGTGTGAATCCCTCCATCTTCCACCTCTAAAGGTGAAATGTTCCAGAGATTTCAATACATTTACAAAACAGCAATGATTTTAAGGCAGAAACTAGAAGAAGCCCAGAGGAAATATGTTGAAATAAGTAAAGGTTTGATAATGATACCCATGAGAAACAAGGAAAATTGCTGAGACTTTTTTTTTTAACCCCAGTAAACTAAGGAATGAAGCTGACCTGCTGTTTCCAACTTCCCCAGGGCTGAGTGAAAGAGTACTCGTAGGGAGAGAGAAATTGTTGTGAAACAGAAGTTTTGAAACAGGAAGAAACGTAGATACAATGTCACTTAATAATCCTACCTGCCTCTTGGTGACGTGAAACAAGGCTCTGGGAGAGATGGTTTCACGGGGTAAAATGGAAGGAAAACAATTTCAAATGTGGTCACTGTGACCTGTAAGATCTTGGGCAGGAGGTCTCGCCTGGGGATCATTTTGTACCTGATGGGATATTTGGCAATGTCTGGAGACACGCTGGGTTGTGAAACCTGGGGGAAGAGGTGCTAGAGGTGCTACTGGGTAGAAGCCAGGGATATTAGTAAATCTCCCATAATGCACAGGACAGCTCTGCAGAACAAAGAATTGCCCAGTCCACAATGTCAGTGCTGTCAAGGTTAAGAAACCTTGGACATGCTGGGGTTCCAGGACATGTGTGAGGAAGTCCTGGTTTTATTCTCAGCCTCTAGGATGCAAATGAATAACGACAGACCAGAGCCCCGTTTGACAGCTTCCCCGTTTAGGCTGTGGAAAACTGGCCCCCAAACGGCAGTGAAAGCACAAGATGGCCATGAAGCAAGCCTGGCACCAGAGGGTCTCGAGGAGATAGAGCACCTGGAGGAGCAGTGAGACAGGGCTCTGGGAAGGCTTCTTTAGAAAGCTTTTACAACAAAAGGAGACTGCCCTACAGAATGAAGGACAAAAGACAGACTCCGATTAGATGTTGTGATGCCAATCGCATCCAAGGGTCTAATCTGGGAGAGACAAAGAGAAGCCCACCGGGGTGACTGGACCAGTGGTTAAGACAGAAAATATCTGTCCTGGAGAAAGCTTTAGAAGAACAAGATAAGAAATAAACTTTTAAAAATCTTTAGATGTTGTTAAGAGCAAGGAGGAAAACTTCAAGGTCAATCATAGAAATCCAGAAAACTCAACTGCAAAGGCATATTCTGAGCACGAGGATGCAGGGCGTAAAGCACCACGGGGCCCAGCTGACTCTGTGAGGTCAGCAGAATGGGCTGTGTCCATGTCTGCACCAAGAGAGTTGTCCTTGGGTCCCAATATTTTTGTGCTTTGAAAAGTAAATCCCAAGAGCCTGTCTGGCTGCACTGAAAAGTCCCATTCCTGGGTAGAATATGAACCAGTTATCTCTCCCACTGAAGTTCTAGGATGGCTTGGCAAACCTCTGTACTTGCCCAGTCATATACTCCTGGGTCCTGGGAGAGGATGGGGCTTCCCTTAAGGAAAGATGCAGGATATAAGAGCAAAAGAAACATCCCTAAGAGGGATGTTCAACAAGTCATCCTTGCAAATGTGATGACTGTGAAAGGGGATACCTGGGGCAATCCTTCACAGGGCAGCCTGGAATCAGAGAACCAACAGTGTCTCTTTATGACAGGCAGAGTAGCACTATCCAACTGGGTTACAGAAGAACAGGCATTCCAAATGGGGACAATTTTGCACTTTTTCCTCTGGTCTTCCCAATGACCAGGGATGCATTTGGGAGAGGTCAGGCTTAGTCAGTGTTGTGGTGTTTCCCATGAGCCAGCTGAACATCTTGTTCGGGACCACAGATGTTGACTGTTGTATTAACACAAGCAGGGTCAATGCAGGTGTTAAGACAGGGAAGGGGGCGTGTAAGTTACTTGGTTGTGGCAGAACTAAGTTTTTTATTTTCTAGCTTGGTGGAAAAATCTTGACATGTTTTAGAAACTACGAAACTTATTTCATGTTCTATTGTGTTCATATATTCCTACCACTTATGAAAACCTATTTCTTTGGGAAGTTGGAGGGATACTCCCTGTTCTCTCCCCAGTGAAACACTTACGGAAATAACTCAAAACATCCAGGCCACATCTAACCAACTCTGTCTGGGCAATGCTCTGGAATACTTAGATTGGAAAGTTGAATCTCTCCTGGAAAGAGAATCTCCCAAATGAGCCTATTATTTGAAAAAAATCAGAGAGAGGTAGCTGGGCCTCTAAGTCAAACAAGAACTGTAACTTACTGAAAGATGCTAAGGAAATGAATGTTCTTAGAGAGGATGTATTTAAGTCTACAGACACAGATTGAGATATACATACATATCAGCACCTAGCAAACTGAGTGACACTAAACAAGTGTTCACTAAATGTGTTGAGTAACTATATGTGCATGTGTGTATATGTATACACATACGTATACACAGGCCTCTAGTTACAGCAGGTTAATATGCATATTGGGTCACTAGAAATAAAGAATGTATCCACAGGCTAGAGAGGATGCTTAGTTTTCTGCGGAGCAGAGATGCTAAAACTGATGAGCCTTTTACTTGTCTGTTTGATTAAATTTTCTCCCAGCCACAGAATTCTCTATACTTTGCATCTCAAAGTGCAGTATTCATGCCAATTTAAAAATTTTGTTATTAAAATTCAGTGGTTCAAATATTTACTCAGCATAATAAAAAATTTGGTTGTCCATATAAAATATAACTGCACACACAAGACTATAAACATTGTAAGTTTAGATTTTTTTCAGTATGTATCTACTTATTGCAAAAAGAGCCATCTTTTCTTTTTCATTAAATAATCATCACATTAGTACAATACAATTTTATATTTTTAAATATACTATATATGTTAAGGATAAGGGGTGAAGTTTTCTTCCTTTGTAATACCTGTTCAAGAGTTTAATGGATTAGGAGATTAGTGTTAACCTTGAGGAAAAAAGTACAAATCTGTCTCATTAGGACACTTCTACCAAGCATTTCTTAAGGCTATAGTTTAACATTTGGTTTCAAAAAGAAAAAAAAAAGGTTTCATTTAAAAAATAATTTAGTGAATTACATTCTTTCATAACTTCCACCCTAATTAGTTACAAAGATAAGTCTAAAGATTCTTAGTTTTGTGTACTAATTTACATTTATATTTAAAGATTAATTTTACTTGTATCTTAAAACAAGAATTTTACGTTGGAAAAAAAGAGAACTAAATACATTTGTATAAAGGCTGTAAATGTCCCATGGCAAATGCTCTGTCTCAATATTTTCTACCACAATTAGAAACAGGGCTCTGCAGAGAGAGACTTGGGTTGTTCAGGTTCACCTTTCCCGAGGAACTGTGGGCTGCACATTTGAAGAACATACAGAAACAACTCAATTTCTCTTTTTACAACTGTACCAGAACTTCACAGCTACCATGATAGTATGAACACATGAAAAAATGACTTCACTCAAACAGGATTTAGAAAAGCTGGGGTGACCTCGGGGCCAGGGCACCACCCTGTGTGGTGAGGTTTACGGTCAGTCATTCGATAATGGAGAGAGAGTGTGTGTGTGTGTGTGCACATATGTGTGTGTGTATATACAGATATCTATATATATAAATAACCATGTTCAGTCCTTTACAAGCCTGTAAATATGATGTTGTGCTCCATGTTCACTATTTGAAACTTCAAACACACAGGCCATGCAGAGGAGAGTTTCTTGCGTATCCCTGTTTGTTACCACCTGTTAAAATAAAAAAAGGTATATAATTCCACACCAATGAAAACACACTCCATCTGTGCAGGCCGACCATGACTTAACTGGAGAAGAATGAGTCTTAAGTCCAACAGAGATTTACTCAGCCTCACTCTGTGTCCTCAAACAGATTCAGAACACCACAAGTATGACCTGAAGCCCATCTAAACTTGCCTATCATAAGTAAGAAATACCTTCTAGATAGGGTCTCACTCATAATCTATGACCGAGAAAAGATCACAATAATTAGTGCAGTTTGTGTTTTTGTTTTTTAGGGGGCTACAACAAAGATAATTCTCTTTAATTCTGTCCCACAAGCCAATCATTTATTCTAGGAAATTGTCTTAATTTTTATCTGAATTTTTAAATTGAAGAGTAATTAATTCCAGTCCCTACCTAAAAAATATAGGAAACCGTCTTATTTTTTATCTGAATTTTTATATTAAAAAGTAATAATTCCAGTCCCTACCTAAAGAATAAAGTCTTGCAGTACATATATTTATGGGCTACAGTGTGATGATAGATGCATATATTGTGGAACAATTATATCAGGCTAACCAACATACCAAGCACTTCACATACTTTTTCAGAACATTTAAAATCTACTCTTTTTCCTATCCTAGTCTTACACTTTTGCTAAATTTTGTTTCACAATAGCCAGTGACAGAAACTGCAGGAGGAGTGCCTTTCTCAGCACTGTATTAACCAGCAGTGCCTGGACTCAGCAAAGTATCTGCTGAATCAAGGAGCAATGGGATGGGCAGAATCCCATGGAATGACATTCTTTCCACAGACATGGGCTTTATCTTTTAAAATGTATTGTGAAATACTCATGCTTCCCCTAGAGTCTCTTGAATCCCTCTCCTTCTCCCTCAGATCTTGAGTTCTCCAGCCCAAATCATTGAGCGCCCTCCACATCAGGCAGTCCCTGACTCCTTCCTGCCCTCACTCCGATCTCAATTCTCCATGACATTCTCAGAACAACTTTCTAAGGGCAAATCTAATCAAGCACAAACACCACCAAATGCTTCAGTGACTGTTACTTTTGTGTTTGATGACGCCAGAGCATTGTTTGAATGAAAACACTTTGAACCTGAGAGCCTCATCCAGTTCATCCAGTTTGTTGTAGGCCTAATTTCCCTCTAAGTATCAGGCTGCTGCTCCTGTTTAGTTTCCCTTCCGTTAAGACATCCAAGCTTCCAGTCTCTACCTAAAAAATAAAGTCTTGCAGCACATCTCATTTCCCCATCACAGCATGCTATGCAGTCGGTAAACACACACAGGAATGTACAATTTGTTTTTCTAATGTCCATCTCATCCAGTGGAATTTAAGTTCCTAAGGAACAGGGGCCTTGTTTCGCAGCAACTAGCTTGGGGACATGGCACACAACAGTCATTTAATATTTGCTGAATAAATGAAAATTCCCATCAGAATAGCCAACATATATTGAATGCTTACTATCCATCTACTCAGTATCAAATGCTTTACACAGATTGTCTCATATGATATTATAATACCTCTAGCAAGCAGCGGGTGATCTTTGACAAGGAAGTAGCTGAGAGGTTCATTTGGTCATGGCTGCCTATTCACCATGCAGATAGCTTTCAACTGTTTCTTCCTCAGGAAGTCTTCCTCAGCTTCCACCAGAACTAGGTCAAATTCCCCTATTCTACGAATGCCCCATGTCCCTCTGCCAGGTAGCAAGAGATACAGTTTTCATTCATTTTGTGATGACTTGATGCATGCTTGCCTCCCTCCTCAGACCCCAGGATGGTGGCCCACCTGCCTAGTTCACCACAGCACCCCGGCCCCTGGCACCTAAGTATGCACCCAGGGAATGCCCCTATTCTTGTCAGTCAGATGTCTGCTTAACCACAGAGGCAACATCCCTGAGAACCCCCTACCTCATCACTCTGCACTTGACATCATTAACTTGCAATGGTTTATTTACCTGCCTCTTTTGTTCTGAAGGACCATGAGTTGCTATGTGACAGGTACTGGGTTTTATTTGCATTGTATCCCAGAAGGCGGTACTATCTCTCCATAGCTTAGCTGAATTAATTAAAATATTTCAATGATAACCTCTGAGGTAGAGAGTGCAGACTTGAGTGTTTTGTTTATAAATGAAGGTGAAACTATGGTCTGAAGACTTAAGTGACAAAGGCCGCAGAGTTAAGTCTTAAACTCAAGTCTTTTGATTTCATGACCATAAGATAATCTTGCAAAGTGTCTTTTCTATCTATTCAAGTTTTGATTTATTTCTATCACTGGTTCTGTGACCTCAGGGTGGCCTGACATTCTTTATCCATAAAATGAGAATAAAAATGACCTCACAGTTTTATATGGAGATATATAATGTAACATTTACAAAGGGTCTAGCACAGCACCTGACACTTCCACAATCTATTCAAACTTCTTGCAAGCCTTCTACAAAAGAATACACTTGGCCCCCTTTATCTGCGATTCTGCACTTGCAGATCCAATCAATCTCAGACTGAAAATATTTGGAGAGGAAAAAAGACACAATGAAAATAATATAACAATAAAAATACAAATTTTTAAAATTAGTATAGCTATTTACATACCATTTACATTGTATTTGGTATAATCTAGAGATGATTTGAAGTATAAGAGATTATTTGTATAGGTTATCTGCAAATACTACATCATTTTATATAAGGTACAATTTCTCCTGTTCAGCAATTAGATGATTTTCATAATCCAAGAGTGCTGGCTTAATTTCAGTTTTTCTAAAACTGAACTATTATTTCTATTGACAGGCATTAATTCTCCATATTAAAGAAATTCATTTAGTTGCTTAATGACACATTTTGAAATTAATCTAACCTGCTAAGTTCTCTGGATGGCTGTAAAGTCTTACGTGCCAAAGGAGCATGCATGCTCTACAGTGATGAGTTGCTTAACAATGGAGACACTTTCTTTTTTTTTTTTTTTTTTTTTTTGAGATGGAGTTTCACTCTTATTACCCAGTCTGGAGTGCAATGGCACGATCTCGGCTCACTGCAACCTCCGCCTCCCAGGTTCAGGCAATTCTCCTGCCTCAGCCTCCTGAGTAGCTGGGATTACAGGCACGCGCCACCATGCCCAGCTAATGTTTTGTATTTTTAGTAGAGACAGGGTTTCACCATGTTGACCAGAATGGTCTCGATCTCTTGACCTCGTGATCCACCCGCCTCGGCCTCCCAAAGTGCTGGGATTACAGGCTTGAGCCACCGCGCCCGGCAATGGAGACATTTTCTATGTGTCGTCAGGTGGTTTTGCCATGCAAACCAACATCATAGAGTGTACTTACTCAAACCTAGATGAGACAGCCTACTCCACACCTAGGCTACATGGATTAGCCTATTGCTCCTAGGTTACATGTCTGTATAGCATGTTACTGTACTGATTACTGTAGTCTATTATAACACAATGGTAAATATTTGTGTATGTAAACATTATCTACACATAAACTACAGGAAAAATATGGTATAAAAGGTTAAAATAAAATAGTTCACTTATATAGGGCACTTACCATGAACAGAGCTTACAGGCCTGAAATTTGTTCTAGGTGAGTCAGTGATTGAGTGATGAGTGAATGGGACAGCCTAGGCCATTACTGTATACCACTGTGAACTTTTGTACTGTACACTTAGGCTAAGCTACATTTGAAAACATAATTATTCTATATTACATGATAGCTACAACATCACTAGGTGACAGGAATTTTTCACCTCCACTGTAATCTCATGGGAACACTATCATACATGTGGTCCGTCCTTCATGTTGCTATGCAGTGCATAACTGTAGTCAGGTTCTGTGGGTAACAGGGGCTTTAATGTTTTTCCAGGACACATTTATCTTAGCTGTGCTCTCTGAGGTAGAGTTTTAGGGAGTCAGGACATGCATCCTTAGCATGCAGCAACAGAATCAGCATTAATTTTTAATAAACAGCTAAGATTCCCCACGAGAGAGGCAGGGAAGCTATTCATTCAGAAGGTATTAATTCCTGTGGCTACTTAAGATCCTCAACAGATATCACACCCACCTTCTACGCATCTGACTGCTAAGGTGATGCATCTATTCTTAAATAGCAACAGGGAGCGCCTATATGACAAGCATCTCCTACCTGCCAGTTCTGCAAACCTTTAACTGCTCAATTTTCACCAAAGGGCAATTAAAGAAAGGAATACTAATCAATATCATTAAAGAGCATGTATTCCAAACTTCCCTTGAATGTTGGTTTCTAAATTTTAGAGGGACATGGGCACATTTGTTAAGATTCTCTTCCTGGAACAAATGAAAATTATATGCAAAATTATGTTTGCCAGCTGTATGCCAATCACGTGTCTGTGAACTCTGAGAGTCCTTGCAGCTCATTTGCCAATCTCTTACAGCAATGGGTCTCAACCTGGCTGCACACTACAACTACATGCAGAGCTTAAAGAATAAACAAAAAACCAGGATGCTGGGTCCCATCTCCAGGGATTGTTTTTATTCATCTAGGGTGGGGCCTAGGCCTTTGATGTTTTAAAGCTTCCTGGATGAATCTAATATGCACAGGAATTTGTATTTTTAAACCTTACATTTTTTTTTTTTTTTTTTTACAATGGTATATAGGAGCTGGCTCCTATTGACTCATGAAAGCTATTGTTAAATATTAAATAATTTCATGAGCTGAATAGCTATTGGTAGCTTGAAATTCCCCATGGAGGGCATATTTACACCTCAGAAGTAGGCAAAATGTATGAATTATGGTTTTGGGAAATTGGAAAGAGCCTGTTTTTTTTTTTTTTTAAAGCAGACCACTGCTGATTGAAAACCACTGTCCCAATGGAACCAAAAACACCAACTAAAGAAGTCCTGCTCTGTATTCTAGTTCTTAATCCTAGAAACAAAAAGGAATAAAGTAGGCTCTCAAAGGGGTATCTGGCCACAATATAGCCTTGTTGCCCCTCTTTTGGCAAGACTGTTTCCATCAAGTTTTGTTTTGGCATTTTTCCTTTAGTTTCATCAAGTCATGTTATTTCTTTAAATGAGCCTTATGAAGCCCACTACTGCATATTTTCTGTTTTGAGGATGACATGTTCCTAACAACCTTCTGAAGTCCCCAAATAAAGGTCCCAGAAGAAACTTGTTTTAAAGTTAAGTATTAGGGGAAAACACACAGAGAACCATCTGGCATTATGGACCTTAAGCACTATTCATCCTTTCCTTTAGCTGCCCATTAAGTTTGTTTTGAGATGGGGTGTCACTATGTTGCCCAGGCTGGTCTCTAACTCCTGGGCTCAGGGGATCCTCCCAGCTTGGCCTCCCAAAGTGTTGAGATTACAGGTGTGAGCCACTGTGCTCAGCCCAGCCAGATTTTGTAGCCTAAGAAGAACACTTTCCTCCTCCTGGTCATTGCATTCCATGCATTCTAATTTCTATTTCTTTTGGTACTAAGAGCTTTCAAATATTTTCCTGTCTTAATGCATGTAACTTCTTAGAAGGCCTTGGAAGTTTGTCATGGAGTCAAAGTATGTTTGAAATACACACCTGCTGACTCAGCTTCTGCCTGATTTGCATACTATGTTGCTGCTGAGACTAAAACTTGGCTAACATTGCAATTACCTATACAATTTAAAAAAATACACATGCTTGGGTCCTATCCTCAGAGATCCTGATTGAATTGATCTAGGATGCAGCCTGAGTATCAGGATTTTAAAAAGTTCTCGAGGTTTTTCTACTCTGCAGCCAGAGATAAGAACATAGGACAATCACTTTTTATTATCTAACCGAATTCCAGTTCTGCCAACCTTAGAAACCCTAGCCAGATAAAACCCCTTCTCTTCTACAGACTTAAGCCCAAATTTTCCCCCTATGGATGCCGCAAATCCAACTGCTGACTGACCACTGGGAGCCCAATCCAACAACCTGGTCAATTCCCTTGGCCCAAGCCTGGGGCCTCCCAGGCCCACCCTCCTTACTTCCCCCATCACATCTCATGGCAGCATCTGCCCAAACAGGAAAGAGATGAAACCATTACCAATAAAATTGTGAAGTTTTCCAAAACACTGTTCATCATATATTTCTCTGGTAAGTGTTTGAGCTTGTGGATGAAGTTGATCATATATTCACACATTGGGGAGCGGTTTATTCGGTATACAAATCGGCCATTCTCAAACCTTGCATACTCCGTCTGTGAGGAAAAAAGGATTTGAGTATTTTTACACTTCTGACTCCAGAACACATGAAACAGGTATTACTGCCTACAAAAGCATTTTAGTTTTTCAACAAGAATCATCTGCTGTATGCTATACTACTTAATTTAAAAAATAATATTTCCAAATTTATTGCTATACATACAATCCATTGTTTTTCTGGAAATTAAAAAAAAAAAAAACTTAGTTGGAAAGATGATAGCTTTAAGAAGAGTTGATATAGATCTTTTTAGCAAAAAATATAACTGCCTAATGGAGATGGTTTACCTGGAGGAGCTCTGTAAGAGCAGGCCCCAGCTAGTTACAATTCTTCAAAGGAAATCTCACTTTATTATGATAAAGCCTCATAGGCTAACAACCAATACAGCTAATGTCTCTACCTTAGAAAAAACTGATTATTCTCATGGATCATGAGCCCCTGTCAGCTGTTTATGCGTTTATGAGAAAAATTAAGAAAATGAGAAAATACTAGTGTATATGCAGTTTCAAGAACTCAAAAATAAGAAACAAGGTTATCCTAGATAACCTTGGATCAAATGGAATTAAGAAGACAATTACAAACTATCTAAAGAGCAATGAAAAGGGAAATACTTTACATCAAAACTTATAAGACAAATGAAGCTGCACTTGAAGGAATCTTAATGAAGCAGCCTCATGTGTCTTCATCAAGATGAAAATTTACAGAATAAAATACACTCCTTTAAAAAAAAAAAACCCAAACCACAAAGAAACCAAAGGAAGCCAGGAAAACGAAATTAATAAAGATAAAAGCTCAAATCAATGAAATAGAAATTTAAAATGTAGACAGAATTTAAAACTGGTCCTTGAGAAAGACAAAATAAACTCTTCACACAAGTTAAAAGGAGAAAAAAGAAAAGTGGGAAAACCACAATTACAGTAGAAATTAGAAGATACATAAGAGATTATTTCACATGACGCTAAGGTGCACGCCATGTATGTACACACACACACACGGCAAAGAAAAGCCAGTGAATAGAGATGCTTTCCCAGAAAAACAGAACTTGCTAATACTGAATCAAAAAGAAGGGGAAAATATCAATAAATAGATCAGTCATTGGGGAAATGACCACAACTAACAAGTTTAGCAACTTACCATTGAAAAAAGTGGAGACCACAGGGATATAAAATTTCAGTTAGGAGAAATAAGCTCAAGAGATCTACTGTACAACATACTGACTATAGTTAATACCAAGTTACTATATTCATGAAAACTGCTAAGAGAAGATTTAAGTGTTCTCACCACAAAAACTGGTAAGCTATGTGAGGTAACATATGCTAATCAGCTCGATTTAGCCATTCTACTGTGTACACATTTTTCAAAACATGTTATACACAACATATAAAACTTTTATCAAATAAATAATTAGATGCTAAAAAAATATAAAGACCCAATAGTTTCAGGGTAAGTTTTACATTATCTTTTAAGAATAGTTATTTCCACTGTTATTCTTTTTATAAATCTAGTGTATATTCAAGACTGATATTTGGCAAAGAAATTATTGAAAAAAGTATATAGCTGGGTGTGGCAGCTCACACCTTTAATCTTAGCACTTTGGTAGGCTGAGGTGGGCAGATCGCTTGAGCCCAGGAGTTCCAGACCAGCCTGGGGCTATATGGCGAACACATTTCTACAAAACAATACAAAAAATTAGCCAGGCATGGTGGTGCCTGTAGTCCCAGCTACTCAGGAGGCTGAGGTGAGAGGATTGCTTCAGTCCAGTGAGGCCAAGGCTGCAGTGAGCCAAGATCATGCCCTCAAAAAAAAAAAGTATAGATGAATATTACTTAGGAAATGTAATGTGAAAATTCTGTGTAAAATATCAGCAAATAGAATCCAGCAACGCATCCAAAGTAGGACTGTTTCAGGAACGCTATGGTGTGTCATACACACTGAGGAAATGTATTAACTTATGTCAACAACTTGGAAGAAAATCTTCATATAGCAACAGATGCTGAAAGGCATTTGATAATGTATTGTAGCTATAACTAATAAAAATCCTAAGTAAAATAGGAATAGAAAGAAAACACTTAAATTAGTAATAAAGACCGTTAATAAAAGCTTACAGTAAATACAATTCTAAATGGCAAAATACCAAAACTTTTTCAACTAACATCAGTTAATTATACAAGGCTATCCCAGAAATCTGCGGGAAAAACTAAAGTTAAGTATGAGAACTTGCTAAGATGGCCATGTTGAAGACAGATATGCAAAACCAAGAGCTTTTCTCTATTCTATTAATTCAAATTTAGAAATAGGAAACTGTAACATATAATATTTAGAAATGTATTTAATAGGAAAGAGACAAACTCGTATGATGAAAATGATAACATCTTATTAAAATACATGAAATGAGAAGGCAAAGAGGTTCATGATTGGAAAGATTTAATATGAATTTTTCTCCAAAAAATCTAAATCTGATGCAATTACAATTAGATTGCTCAAACAAGGTTTTTGTTTTTCTTTATATGTTTGATTGAATTATTTGGAAAAATAAATGTTGGTTACTAGCTTAGAAAATATATGAAAACGAAGAAAAGTGAGACTGACTTGCCTCATCAAATACCAGAATATACTATAAAGCCACTGTAATCCAATCAATATGACACAGAGACAAATTGTGGGTGGACTCGAACAGAGAAACTCCAGGAATTGCTCAGAATATATGGTAATTTAAAGGGAGCAGATCTTTTCAACTGGAAAAGAATGAATCACTTCATAAGTGGTTTTGATACAAATGGCTATTTGGAAGAAAATATAAGTAGACTACTACTTCATACCAAATGCAGACATACATTCTAAATAGATAAAAGGCTTAAATGTAAACCCCACCTGCCGCAAATACCACCTTCTCTATGAAAATTCCTGTGATTTTATCTATCAACATGAACCTCTCCCTGCTTCCTGAACTTGCATATAGCTTTGGGTGTATCACCTGAGGACACCATTTGAAATTTAGGAAACTGAGTAAGCTGTGTGGTTCGTCTTTTCTCAAATGCACCTGTCCAGGCAGGGAATTCAGTCTACAGAGAACATCCCTGACAACTCAGCTATTCACTAACACTGTATAACCCCCATCTTCCATACTCCCAATCACCCACAGATAACACTGCTTCCTCCTCCTTAGGGGAAACGGAGGTAATCTGGTTCCAGGAGTCCCAGCCCTGTCTCATGATATAGCTACCTTCTCACCTCCCCTTTCCCTAGGCTTCCCAGACGCTACGCTGAGCCAGTTCCCCTCCTCCCCACTCATTTTTGTCCTCTGCTCTTCTGTTTATGTCTCCCTCTACTCATCCCAGGGCTGGTGGCTACTCTCCAAATTTAATCCTTATTCCTGTGCCGTTTCTATTCCCTCTCTGCAGCTAGGTCTCCATTCCCAATCCTTAACGCCCAGGATTCCCAATTTATATTTTCAGTTTTTAACCTGTCATCCAAGTTCTAGCCTTGCATCTATAATCATTACCTATTTCCTCTTGAACACCTTATTTCCTTATTTCTATTAGTGGTAGTTCTGTCCTTCGAAGCATAAAATGTAAGTGTGACTTTTGACTCTTCCCCATTAATATCCAGTTAGTTTCTAAGTTCCATTCAAAATGTCTTACTGGATTCCCACTGCCACCACTGTGGGAAAGCCCATGACCCCTAAGCTTAAATTATCCATCTAAGTCAACTCTCCTGCATCCTCTTCTGCCAGCATAACCTTTCCTCAACAACATTCTCACAAGGCCTGTCCTGGGATCAGGGGGCTTGTGCTATGCAGGTCTGCAGCATCCCAAATCCTCACTGCTTAGCCTAAGGTCTTAAGAAATATACCCATCTCCTTCTCTCCCTCCTCGGCGCACAGTCTTTGTACAGCTAAGGTAGGCTCTTGAACCTGAAAGGTCCAGGGCCACTGCAAATAAAAACTGCTCACTGAACATGGATCAATTAATTGGGTGATGGGTAGAAGACACTAGAAAATACAACCTTTAAAGAATGCCAATGACAAGCATTATTTAACAAAGCAACTCACCCTGATCAAACAAATATACATCTTTTTAAAGGGAGTAAGGAATGAAATATAACAGCCATAAAAAGATACTGGATCTTAACATATAATAAAATCTATCTAAAACAATTAAAAAACAAAGGTAGTGGAAATGGCAAAAGCAACAGTATCGAACTCAAGGTGTCATGGTTTCAGAGGGCAGGTGCCAATCATCTGAGTACCACCTTGACTTTTATTTACAATGCCTGGGAGTGCCATTGGACCTAGGGGTTGGGTGCAGGGAGTGCATCATTCTGACTGGCAGAGCCTATCTCAATCCAGCTTTGATGCCAGGCTACCCCACAAGGCCTCACACGGAGGTGCACAGCACTGGCTGAGCAGGGTACAGCCGACTTTAGACACAGAGGGCTGGCACAGGACTTCCCATTTGCTTCCTTTCAGGTGCTTCCAAATCACTTTGCCTTTTAGAAGAAACAGGAACAAGAAGTGGGGGAAAGAAGGAGGGTGATAAGGTTTGGCTGTGTCCCCACCCAAATCTCACCTCAAAATGTAATCCCCACATCGGAGGAGGGGATTACAGGAGGCCTGGTGGAAGGTGATTGGATCATGGGGGCGGTTTCTTCCCATGCTGTTCTCATGATACTGTGGGAGTTCTCACCAGATCTGATGGTTTAAAAGTGTGTGGTGGTTCCCACCCCCCTTCCTCCTGCTGCTATGAGAAGACATGCCTTGCTTTCCCTTCCCCTTCCACCATCATTCTACATTTCCTTAAACCCCCAAATTATGGTTCCTGTTAAGCCTGTGGAACTGTGAGTCAATGTAGTCTTTTCTTCATGAACTACCCGGTTTCAGGTACTTCTTCATAGCAGTGTGAGAACAAACTAATATAGAAGGTAAGAAGGAGACATTCAAAAAGTACAGCTCTCTGCCCCAAGGAAGGTTCAAAGGAAGGCAACAGTCTGCCCTTGAACGAAGTTTCCAGTATAGAGAGGCCAACTTACCTCTACTTTTTCTACTACTTGCTTTCCAAAGGAGCAAACTTTGGTGGAACAGGTGACTGTCATATTTTCAGAACTCTCGTACTGACTGGTTACACCATAAAAAGCCCCAGCATCGTCTTGAATATTGCAGTTTAAATCAGCCTGTTGGAAAGGAAATGGAGGTGTGGGTTATTCTCTCATCCCAGGAGTCATGGCACCAAGCATTAACTTTCAGAGTAAGAGCTCCACTTGGCTGAATGAAGACAGTGGCTGGCTTGGGAAGGTGATGCTCATTTAGAAACAAGTTCAATGCCCATCTCATTTTTTGAAGAGGGTGCTAATTTGGACAGTCCTCTCTTGAAATGACATGCTACATGTATCGATTTTGTTTTACTTTCTTGCATTCAGTATCAGAATACTACCTTGCAATAAAAGATCCACAAGGTCTCTGAAGTATGCACAGAAAGCAGGATATCAACTGGATTCATATTCAGTCATCTTCAGAGATTTTTTTTGAAAAACAAGAGACTGCAGCTGACTAGCCATTTGTCACACACACACACACACACACACACACACATACACACACACACAGACACACACTTTATTAAAAATTAGAGTATCTGGAGGGGAAATGGTTCCTATTAAAGACTGGCTTACAAAGATGTTAAATAATGAACATAAGTTGCCATTTATTTAACACATTTTATTAAGTACCTACTATAAGAGGTTCATGCTAAACAATGTACAGGTCTTGGCTACAACTAATATGGAAGATAAATAAAATAACTATAATTCAGATAGAAAATAAGTACCATGTAAAAGATACTTAGAGTTCCAGCAATAGAAGGCATGACTTTCCACTGGAGGTCTCAGTTCAGGAATGATTTAGATTGGCACATGCAGGGAAGGCTGGGGGTACAGTGCAGGCAAGGCCTGGAGTGCTGAATTCTAGCTTCTGTGCATGGACTAAGGACCTTAGACTGGGAGTTTGGAAGTGCAACTAGGGTACAGGTTATGTGGAGCTAAAAAGGGGTATAGATTATATTCTGTAGGACATGGAGACCCCTTCAGAGCTTGAGTGCTAAGGAAGTGATGTGATTAGTACTGTGTTTCAGAAAGAAATGTCTTCAGTAGGATGCAATGTCCACTGGAGAAACTGGCTGCTGCAGTGTTTGGATCACCGCTGTGGTCTGAATGTGCTCCCCAAATACATACATTGGAAACTTAATCCCCAGTGCAACAGTGTTGAGAGGCGGGGCCTACTGGGAGGGGTTTAGGTGTTGAGCCTCTGTCCTTGCATATGGGTTAATGCTGCTATACATAGGGCTTCCAGGAGTAAGTTGGCTCTCTCTGGCCCTTCGTCTGCCTTCCACCAGATGCGGCAGCCTCGATCTTGGACTTCCCAGCCTCTAGAAATGTGAGAAATAAATTTCTGTTCTTTATAAATTACCCAGGTGGTGGCATTCTGTTGTAGCAGCACAAAACAAACCAAGACGGCCACGGAGTAATAGTTTCCTTCCCTCAAATATCTACCAACCCCCCGCTCCACATCAGGCACGGTGTTCAGAGCTGGAGATAAGAACAAGCAAAAGCTGAGCCAGGGCCTGCTCTCCTGACACTTATGAGTAAATGAGGAGCATACCACACAGAGCTAAGCACCAGGGAGAGAGGTACAGGGGGATACGAGCACAATCTGTGGGAAGTGGGTCCCCAAGGTCAGGGGCACTTCTGGTGATGATGCAGTTCAGATCCCAAGAAAGATGAGGCTTAGGCAAGAAGGAACATTCCGTAAGAGAGAATAGGGTGCTCAAAGGGCACACAGCCAGAAAGAAGGACTAAAGAAAGAGCAAGAGAGAGAGGATGGAAGGAAAGCTGGGGAGGTGGGAGGGCTTGGATCTCATATCCTGAGACCAAAGGGGACAGTGAGCGGACAGGCCTGGAACAGTGACAGGGCACAGTCAGCTCTGTATTCAAAGGCACCTCTGACCACAGCTCGGAGAAGACTCCAGGAGAGAGCAGGAGAATGTATACATATACCAGGAGCCATTATAGCAGTTCAGGCAACAGATGATAAAATGTGGGCTGCTATGATGGCTGCTGAAGCAGAGGTGCATGGATCTCATACTCAAATGAGATTTTACATTTTGTGAGGTTTGGCTTTTTTTCCTTGAGACAGGGTCGGGCTCTGTCACTTTGGCTGGAGTGCAGTGGTGTGAGGCTCACTGCAACCTCCGCCTCCCAGGTTCAATAGATTCTCGTGCCTCAGCCTCCCAAGTAGCTGAGATTACAAGCATGTGCCACCACACCCAACTACTTTTTGTACTTCTAGTAGTGACAGACTTATGCAATGGTACCCAGGCTGGTCTCGAACTCCTGGCCTAAAGTGATCTGCCTGGCTCAGCCACTCTCAGTGCTGAGATTACAGGTGTGAGGCACCAAATTGCACCAGATTTGGCAGATTCTGACTGGCTAATTTTTGTACCTTGACAGGCACTAACCACTAAGACAAGTCATCTTATATCCTTTAAAATAAATACCTGCATTTAAATATCTTTCTTCAATTGGTTATTAGGAAAATGTCCATCTCCTTAGGCAAAACTTCCTATTTTCTGCCTACAAACAAAGAGAACCATGTGCTCCACATTCCCCTTTTCACCTTATGTGCCCAAAATTCAAAGCTAAATTCAGAGTTCAACTACAGTAATTAACTTGCCCCAGGTTCTTCTAATAGCTACTAGCAGTCAGGGTACAGTTCCTTTTACTGGTTTCCAATCTGCTTTAACTTGTACTTATCCAGTTTTACGTTACCCATAAATGTAGTGAGTTTTCTCACATTCTGTTTTTTTGATTTTATGGGGTATAGATCATAAACAAATAAAAATACCCAGGTGTGCATTTTTCTCACATTCAAAGGTTTAACATTTGGCTCCACATAAGAGCAGCTCAGCAGGAAATCATGCATGTCTTTCCCTAACTGAGATCAACATCTGAGCTCCCAAGGCTGATGAGACCCCTGGGTCTAACTGAGCTCCAACCTCCAGGGGCAAAGGGCTACCATATACTCCAGGCACACAAGGGCTCTGAACACTGGAATTCCCACTGAGCTTTCCACATGGTGGTGGAAAGCTTCAAGAACTGCCACTGCCTTGCTTTGCTGCCACCTTAGAATACTTTGCTGTGAACAGCAGCTCAGGTGCTTTATGGTGGCGAAATTAATGCTCTTACTATTATGATGCAGCTTGTGCCAAAACGTTCCAGGATTTTTTTTTTTTTTAAGTAAAAACATGCATGTGGTAAATAGAGGGGGAAAAATAAAACTGTAAAAAAGGCACTGACCCCCAAATTTGTCAACCTCCCTAAGGGTAACCAGCGTTATCCATTTCTCGTGTCCTTTCAGAGATATTTAGCACTTAAATATTCAAGGACATACATTCCTCCTTTTTCACGCAAACAGTAGCACATTAACTTTTCTAAAAATTAAACATACACACACACACACACACACAAACACATCTTAAAACTCATAGTACTAATATGGAATTTCAGTATTATAAAGAACAGGCATTTAAAATAATGAATAGCCACACTTTCTACTGGCTGCATACGGTTCTATGGCACAGATATGCGGTAATTTTTCTTTTTTTTTGAGATGGAGCCTTACTCTGCCACCCAGGCTGGAGTGCAGTAGTGTAATCTCAGCTCACTGCTACCTCCGCCTCCTGGGTTCAAGCAATTCTCCTGCCTCAGCCTCCTGAGTATCTGCGATTACAGGCGTCTGCCACCACACCCGGCTAATTTTTGTATTTTTAGTAGAGAGAGGGTTTCACCATCTTGGCCAGGCTGGTCCTGAACTCCTGACCTCATGATCCACCCACCTTGGCCTCCCAAAGTGCTGGGATAACAGGCGTGAGCCACCATGCCGGGCCAAAACACCATAATTTCAAACACGCTCTACTGGTGAATATTTAGGATGCTTTCCAACGATGCTGCAATAAGTTTTTGTTGACAAGAAAAGGTGCATTAGAAGTTATTTTTTTCTTTCAACTTTAAATTCCCAGCTTTGAAAGGGAGTATTCATGTGTTATGAATACATTGTGAGCTAACATTATGCTAGTTGATTTTGATGTAATCAAGTTGTTCTGAAAGACTATTAAATCAAATACAGTCCAGCAAGCTGGGTGTGGTAGCATATCTGTAGTCCCAGTTACTAACGATGCTGGGACAGGAGGCTCATTTAAGCCCAGGAGTTTGAGACCAGCCTGGGCAACACAGCAAGAGCCTATCTTTAAGCAAGGAGGGTGGTGGGGCTAGTGGTTTTGGCATATATTGTGGAATGTGGAAGGGAACATAGTGAAATAAGCAATAGTGTATGGGGGGCAGGGGGTCACTGAGAGAGTAAATAGATAATGCTGAATATGTTCACAAGTGTTATGCTTCTGTCTGTATGAGGTTCCATGCTTAAGTGACACTGGTGAAAGCAGTTGTCCCACAGCAGTGGCACACCCAGCAGATGACACATTGAAGACCTCCTTCCTTTATTTGACAAAATGACTTTCAATAGTAACCAACACTCTATCTTATTTAAAACTTTAAACATAAAAATTCCAAAAGCAGAAACAGAGAATGAAGGCATGGGAGAAAAGTTTCCTCATCTTCATCATCATTCTGCTACTGCTGCTCACTGGCAAATCTATTTAACCACTGGAAAAAGTAGCACCATGGGGACTGTGGACTCAGACTGCACCTGAAATGAGTTCGAGGCTGGGTCCACAGGTGTTACTAATGGAGAAGTAATACAATGGAGAATGTGCATGCTAATTTGAAGCATATAGTTGTTTTATATATAAAATAAAAATTCAACATATATATTATAAATTGTGTGTGTGTGTGTGTGTGTGTGTGTGTGTATATATGAATAAAATAAAAATTCTGCCGGGCACAATGGTTCACACCTGTAATCCTAGCACTTTCAGAGGTCGAGGCAGGGGGATCACTTGAGCCCAAGGGTTCCAGACCAGCCTGGGCAACACAGGGAGAGTCCATTCCTACAAATATATATATTTTTAATTAGCTGGACGTGGTGATCTGTAGTCCCAGCTACTTGGGAGGCTGAAGCAGGAAGCTTCCTTGAGCCCAGGAGTTTGAGGCTGCAGTGAGCC